TATTACGATTCAGTAGCTTTGGATCAAACTGGAGAATATGTCTACATTGACGCGCGTGTCCCTATTGTCAACAGCAACAATGGCAACAAGGCGGCACCTCGAAGACCCCCGTCGCTGCCAGATTCGCCGGGCAATCAGAGTAATTATGTCAACATCGATTATTTTATACAGTAAGTCGTTCGTCATTTCTCGCTTCATTTCAACTAAAGCATGTCAAAGTCTTTAACCACGCGGAGTACGCGTGCCTTCCCGGGTCATTTCGAGCATGTGTTTTTTAAGTATGTGGATTGAATTCACGTGCGAGTACTCCCGGGTTAAAGTGAAAATATAGAATATGTACGATTCGCGCATTATTTTCAGACACAGAGCGGCAATGGACAGCGAAGACGAAGAGGGTGCCAGTCCGGCGCCCCCGATCTTGTTACGAGCTCTCAGTACAGACAACGAAACTGGCAGCAGTGACGCCGAACCATTGAGTTTGAGTGAGGGTAGCTTGGAATCACCGACTCCGACGACGCCGCGTAGACAGGAGAAGAGCAAAGATCGCGAGGATGACAGAACGTCGATGATTAAGTGTATCGTGAATTCCGTAGTGGAGAGCGAAGCTGTATATGTGGAGTGTTTAACTGTGATGTTACAAGTATGTAATTATTTTGCAGTTTGAATATTTACAACAATTTATTTAAAATACATGTGTTTTACTATCTTTCCCTGTTTGCAGTATATGAAAGCTATTAGGGCAACTTTAACGACATCTCAACCAGTCATCTCGGAGGAGGAATTTGGAACAATGTTCTACAAAATTCCGGAATTGCATGCTCTGCATCAGACATTTCTGGACGGTCTTCGAAAGAAGACGGAGAAATGGGACAGTAAACCTACTATAGGAGAACAATTTAAGGTTTGATATGCCGCTTTCGTATGAGACGAATAAAAAAATTGGAGTAATCACGTAACGTCACGTTAATTTCAGATTATGGCCAGTAATATAGGATTATACGGTGCGTTTTTGCATAATTACGGTCGCGCGACCGACACCGTGCGACGATGCTCTGCCCATTCCACTCAATTCGGAGAGATTACCAGAGACATAAGACTCAGAGGTTTTCCAAAAGGCCCAGGTTTGTCGCTAGAAGATCTGTTACATAAGCCAGTCGCGCGAGTGCAAAAGAATGCTTTAGTTTTACATGTAAGTATATAATATTTACTTATAAATGTAACGAGCTCTCTCTATATGCGTCAACAACATATAGCGCGATTTTCTACTACAAGATGACTGATAAAATTGCTAAAGAGATAAACTATTACGAGTCTCAGGTCCTTGTAAATACATCGTAATCTCTAGTTTATCTTATCTCGAACCTCGTAGCGGTAATTTTTCTCGTTCAATGGCTTTCAGGATCTTCTGAAGCATACGCCAGTCAATCATGCGGATCACGCGCCTCTGTCAGAAGCACTGGCTATGACCAGAAACTTCTTAGATGAATTCAATATTATCCAGACTAAGTCCATGTTTCCGGTAAGAAAGCTTCATGTAATACGTAGATTACTTTTTTTTTTTATTGGATGTGATTGCTGCTTTACATCTGGTTTTGCTTTTCTTACTTAGAGTCACGACAGAGCCCAACGAAGATTGGTGAAGAATTCTTTCGTAGTAGAACTCTCAGACGGTCATAGAAAACTGAGACATCTTTTTCTCTTTAACGATGTAATCGCCTGTGCGAAGTACAAAGCATCCGGCAGGGACAAGTTCACGTTCGAATTGAAGTGGTATGTCCCCATAGCGGAAGCTGCTGTTACGGAGGACGGCGTAGAGCCACGCGAAGCCAGCCCCGCTAACGTGGTAGCTTTGAGGTAAGTCGACTTATAATCCGTAATAAATTGTCGTTAATAGGATTGGAATTAATTTCTGATATATATGATATTTTTATTAATATTGACATATCGATAAACATGTTATCAGATTGATCGTCACATTCAATATCTCGTTATCAAAATACGCTCGTAGTAATGATAGTAATGACTCATTTGTGTTGAAATTGTCAACACATCATTGTATTATGTTAATGAAATGAACAAAGGAACCGAACGAACTTTTTCAATCTAATACCTAGTTAAACTACTTTAAGTAACCTGAATGTTGCCAAAATAGATCACAAGCGTGTACGGTACGCGATCAAATACTGTGGGAGGAGCGGAACGACGAGAAGCGGATTCGACTGGGTGGAAGAGGCTCGGAGAAAAATCGCAAGAAACTCGCCGAGCTCGAAGCGCAGCTGGTATTAGCCTCGCCAAACTTGGTTCTGCGCGTCGCGCATAAGAGCCAGCAAAACCGGGTGCAGAATTCCTATACCTTCTTTTTATCCAGCGAGTTTGAACGTTCCCAATGGGTGGAGGCGGTGGATGCGTTACAGCAGGTCACTGAATCTCACATTAGTAATAACTAATAATGCATATACATATAGTCTATTTATATGTTGTGTTAACTATATTTAATTTAAAAGGGAGTTAATATCATTAGTTGGTGTTTTACAGGGTGGACAGCCTCCAGGACAACTACCCTTGTCAATGTACGAGTTGCAAGCTTGGGTTACCGCTTGTCGGACGTTTCTACAGACGGATATGGGCAGCTATCTATTGAGATCGGGACGCGACGAGAGCTTACTGCTGGGTGATCTTCATCTAACACTGGTCGGTCTGACTCCGCCGGGTTTAGACAGGGTGAGTGACCTATATATCATCGTGGAAGTCGACAGCTATGGACACTACTTCAAGAGAGCACGAAGTCGCGTCGCCAAAGGTCAAGCTCCGCTTTGGGGTATAATATATTTTTCATTCTTTTTACATAGTGTTTGCAGTATATTAACTTGTAATCTTCAGCAAGTATAGATAATTGTCTATCTTAAAATTAAATTCTTTATATGGAGTGATTATGGATTATGAAGTTTTTTATTTGTTTCAATTGCAGGCGAGACTTTTGTGGTAGAATTGGAGGGAAGTCAGAATGTTAGAATCTTGTTGTACGAGGAGTGCGGTACACGCTCACTATTGCGAGGCAAATGCATTCAGCGGTTAAGCAGATCTTGGCTGCAATCCGATCAGGTGGAGAGATCACTGAACTTGGGACCCACGTCATTGGACGTAGCACTACGTTTTGTTCCCAGCGAGGTCACTCTGAGACGAGTGCCTTCAGCCAAACCACAAGGCTTATTTGGCGCCAAAATCCAGCAAGTGTGCAAGTATGCGCGATTTTATTCGAATCAAAAAGATTAGAAAATTAAGAAGTCGATTGCGATCTTCCATTAAATCTTCAACGAGAAAATATAATCTTGATATCCAAATCAAACAACTCGCAATTGAAAGAGACGAAAAGTTTCTTATTTCTTATAATTAAAATGAAATTATTAAATATCTCTTAATTTATTTACGAAATATTATAAGGAAATATATTATTATTACTTAAGTAATACTACTAATTTTAATATATTACTATTAGATATATACTACTTTTTGCAGACGAGAGAAACGCGACGTGCCTTTCATTATAACGGCATGCGTGAGAGAAGTGGAAAGACGGGGTGTCGGCGAGGTAGGCTTGTATCGTGTTTCCGGCTCGGCGTCCGATGTAGCGAGACTACGCAAGTCGTTCGAGAGTAATTCGTATGAAGCGGAGCAGTTGCTTAAAGAGGTACGTTTTCATTTTCAATATTTTGCATGTTCTCTCCTAATAATTGTCATATGAAAAGGAATTTTTGTCGCATTATACTGATATCTTTGCAACATGTGAACATGCAGGTGGACGTGCATTCGGTGACGGGTGTGCTAAAGCTGTACCTGCGCGAAATGCCAGAGGCACTGTTCACCGATGCTCTTTATCCGGCGTTCCTGGAGGCCTTCCAAACGGGCGATCTGTCGCGGGGCGCCGCTCTGCGCCGCGTCTACGACGGTCTACCCGCCGTCAACAAAGCGGTGATCGATTTCCTGCTAGCGCATCTTGTTCGCGTGAACAAACACGAGGCGCAGAACAAGATGTCGCTGCACAATTTGGCCACAGTGTTCGGACCCACGTTGTTACGACCCGGCACCAGTAACTCGCGCAGCGACGCCAAAAGTCGCGATCCTCTCGCCGCCGGTACCGTCGACGTGATGGCGCAGGCCGGCATTCTCTACTGTTTTCTGCAGTTACACATGCAACAACAAAACAATCAATCGCTCTAGTCGACAAAGCCCCTCGGTCCTTTAGAACCCGAATCCCGCGATTAACATTGTCGTTCAATTTGAGATTCAGGTAATCAGAAACGTGACAACCTCCTGTCTGACAAAGCAGACATCCGAAAGACTACGTGACTACGATGCCGGAATGATAACCTGGATTTAAATCAATAATTGATCAATCTACTTGTCATATTTCAAAACGTAATATTTCTGTTTTTAATGTTTTTCCCGATGTATCGTTTATGTAACAGATAACTTTTATATGATGTATAATTACGTCCTCAAGAGAATTGATAATTACCCGTATATCCTTTAAATAAGGAGATAAATGTGAAACTTTTTATTTAATTGAGATTATTTTTTTATTTGATACACGATAGTATAAAGAATTTCTTTATCATATTTTAAAGAAGCAACATTTTTTTATTTCATTATTTTAATTAATATTTTATGATTAAATTGAGAGAGAGAGAGAGATCTCTCGTGCTGTCGAAAAACCAATTTCTATCCTTCAGACATCTATCGATAGTTTTATATTGCGCAGATTGATACAGTAATTCATTCGGTCTCTTTTGTAGACATTAGTTTCGCGCAACTTATCTCCTTTTGCAATGCTGAGCTAGAGACCGAAAATGTATTAAGCAAATAGACTGGCTTTGATGGAATCCTCTACATGAAACCTCTGTACTCCGTACGCGTGCAAAATAATGTAGCAGAGCTGCTCTTATAGAACGATATATAAAGCGTAATAATATATATACACATATATATTATATATCTTTTTACTTTTGAGGTTCATAATATATTTTCTACTTCGTATTGTCCGAGCGTGGTGATGCCGCTCGCGCACGATCAAATTGACGACCCTTCCTAAGATGAGTTTTTCAAGAGAAGAGTATGGTGCAGAAATTTCAGGTGAGAAATTGACCAAAGAGGATTAGTTTAGATTAGCCAAAGCGAGCAAATTGGTTGAAAAGCTGTATTAACACTTTGTATATTAAGAGTATCCTGCAAATTTATAAAGAGAAAGAAGATTTATTAAAAAGAATATAAGAGTCTCTTGAAAACAATTTTAAAGAGTAAAATAAAAAATCTTATATATAAAGTCTGAAATCGAAACCTTAAAAGCCTGAAATTTATGTACTAGATATGCAATCTCTTTCTGGCGCGTCAATGCTCTAGGAAATTAAGTAATTTTCCACGTGACGTGTGTTCCTAGCAGAGAATCTAAATCTTTTTATACAAGCCCTTTGCAGCAAGTAAACTGTTGCTCTAAGTAATATGGTCCTATACTTTTATGTATTCATAATAGCGTTCATCTTGCAGAAGCGTCACAGTATCCAGAGGAAAGAGAGAGAGAAAGAATGTACGTGATCTATTGTTCCTTGGAAATCCTGCGAAATTCAGGGAACGATGTTCCTCATAGCGTGCAAAAAATTGAGAATCTGCTTTATATGTATGTAACGTAATAATCGTCCATTCCATTTGTCGGCTCAAACTCTCAACCAAAAATTCGAGAAACGGTTCGAGTTTTCGCGTAAAATACTGCGAGTTTTGTCACGAAAAGTCATATGACCGTCTCAAGAAATAAGTCCTCCTTATTCCGTCAAAGCGCTATTTTTCGACTGTAATTTCTTTATACAAACAAGACTAGTTTCTTTATTATCGTCCAATTGCAGCTTAAGAGAAGACGCTAAAAAGAAAGATCCTTTCCCGCGCGCGTATAGGGTGTCCCGAAAATCGTTTAAGTGAGATAAATGAAATTTTCTTGTTTCTGGGAGATTTATTTTTAAATTAGTAAAAAAATCATTATAATATATTTTTCTTTTTTCTAATTTTGATCATCAACGTTAATTTTTTCGAAGAAATAATGTGCAAAAAAAAGATTTATGTATATTCTAATTTTTTCCTTTTTTCTTTTTTACAAAATATCACTGATTCTGTAAATGATTTTTGGAACACTCTAATCGCAATAAAGAGAGAGTAAAAAGAACGCGCGGGTTTGGCAGTACAAATTAGTAGAAATCGGTATTGTGCACATAGTGTATTGTGCATTATGCCAGACCGTCTACGAAGTTTGCAATAATTATAATTATAAACATGCAAAAAAGCACAAAAAAAGAGAAGAAAACGAAAAAGAGACAAGTCTGACTAAAAAAGTGTTCGATACAAACGAAGACGTATGTAAGAAGTAATTAAATTGTTTACGCTCGAAATATAGGAACTATTGTATCTCGTGCGTGTAGAGGCAATCGCGTGCGTGTTTGTGCTTGTTTGTATGCGTGTATTACTACCTTCCCCTTCCGTGTATGTATTATACCGTAAAAAAAGTACCGCATAAGATTAATTTTGATATCGTCGTAGCGTTTAAGGAGCGTCCGCCTTATTTTGTACATTGATACAAAGTGTAAAAACGAGTTTCCTCGATTATTATATTTGTGTATTATTATTAATAATATTATTATTACTCCATTACATATATGAGATAATTATCATCGCATCAGTAAACTATTTGTTACGAAGTTTGATCGAGCTAGCTTGTTCGCAGCGAGACGCGATGTACTGCCAAAAAAAAAAACGAAAAAAAAATCACTTAAAGTGCATAAATATACTGAAGGTTTATAAACTTTTACATCGATCGTGTATTTATTAGATTTATTATATCTTATCTCAACGAGATGTTTTCGATCAATACTAAACTTGGCAAAACATAGCATAAATATACTGAAGGTTTATAAACTTTGATTTCGGTCATGCATTTATTGGATTTACTACATCTTATTTCGATGAGATATTTTCATCAATATTAAACTTGATAGCATTTGTGTGAGAGAAAACGAATTCGATAGTTTAAATTGAATTATTGTTATGGTACTTTAAATTGGCAAATTTTTGCAAATCTTTGAAACCTAAGAATCTTAGAATTTCATGAAATATTGTTATGAATACAACTTCTGGTATAAATCGAGTATTGTCATATTATATAAAAAGAATATACTACCAAGCTTAAAATAAGTGTTTAGGAGAGATTTCAAAAAAGTTTTCAAGCAAGTAGCATTAGATTTGATATGCTTTAAAGGAGAGTCTAAAATTTTAATTACTTGTTTGAAATTTCCTTGAAATATTTGTTGAATAATTGAATAATTAAAATTTTGAAATAAAATGTTTACATTTGATCCAAGATCTCTTGCTGAAGCGGAAGCTCCAGGCAATCTCTGGCTGGCGGTGGTAGAGGTAATCTAACGGATGTCGCTGCGATATTGTCCCATGAGCCAGGTAATCGAGAGCCATCTGAGCCATTGCACTGCATCCCTGGTAAATCGAATAAAAATAAATTATAGAAGTTTTATAATAGAGATATTAAAATTAAAGATTGCAAACAATATTAAAAGGAACGATTAATAAAAATATAAATTTCTTTTTATATTTTATATTACGATAGATATTCTAATGAAAGCAAACTTGTCAAAGATTATTAGAATAAAAAACTCGATGAATCTATAAATTAAGATTAAAAATCTCGAGAGCATAAATTTAAGCACGAATTTTTCAGGAACGCGGACCTAAAGGTGCAGCTTCATAAAGATCATGAAGAGCTTCCACGCGGACCTTGGTCCACTCGATGCTCTTGTAATTCGCTGAGATGCCCTTGTTCGTGCTAGTGTCCTGATTTTCCCATTCTCGCATATAACGGAAATACGTCCGTAGGGCGTCGTCGCTTATAGCGCTTTTGCACACCTTGAGTAAAAAACACGGAATCTCTCTTTTTTTTTTTAATAATAAATTCGCACAAATGCGAATAAATTTACTTTTATTTATTTTATTCTCTTTATTTTGCTAATAATTTTAATTTACCTCTAACAGCGCGTTAGGATAATAATGAATGTAATTAACGCACATCTCATCGGATATCGCGAAACCACCGAGAGTCACATTATCTCTCTTCACGGTGTTGTAAGTACATGTAGTTATCAGAGAATCTCCCTGCAAAATATTTTATTTTATTTGTAATATAAGAAAAAGAGAAGGATTTTCAATTATATATTACAAAATTAGTAATATAAAATGTCAGAAAAGAATTTTCTCTTATTTTTCGTTCTTTTTCATTACGATGTTGTCTGCTTCTAATTAACAAAAAGATAATTACTATAATCTTATTTTTATTTTTGTTTTTAACTCCTAAATATGAATAGATTCATTTATTCATCTCCTACCTCTTTCATTTCTATATTTATTACTTTTAGCTAATTTTCGTGTTTAGTTTCTTACAGGTAAAATTGTCACCGGTTTCGGTAGGAGTCTGATCTCCTGAAAATGAGTGGAGTAATGATTGTCATAGTTCAACGGCGGTAGCTCCTCACCGTCCCTTACATGACGGGTGATGACTTTTGTGCCCGTCAAATGTGTGTGCAGCTGAGAGGCAAAAATGCGTATGCCACTTTGAGGTAATCCAACCCCGGTGCATTCTGTTATGCAATGACCGGATAGCGTAAAGGCTTCCTAAGGAAATTAATGAGGTTTGGATTTATTAAATCTGTAAATTGGAAATTGCAGACTTATTATTGTACATAATTCTTTTTTAAACTAATCAATCAGTTTTTTTTCACCTGTCCCGCGGGTATGGCCATCTTATCCGTGTATTCGAGCCCGAGCTCGATCACACCGGCATCGTACTTTCTCAGCGACTTGGTAAGAACAAATCGGATCCCGGAGGAATCGACTGTGCCCTGATGTAGCTCGGGATTATTATAATGCACCTCTAGCATGACGTATGGATTGAAATCGGCCCCGCCGATGGACAGACCGGCTTCCTCCGGGTATACGAATGCATCAGCACCCATCGCCCATGCCGCCATCACCTTCTTACAGATCTACGTGGACCGGAATGAATGGGCTAGATTGATGACATATTCGTTGCTCTCGAAAAAAGAGCATTTGACGTCTACTAAGAATTAATCGTACCTAATTACGTTATGTAATTGAGGACACAAGAACAACTAAAAGGAATGTAAAGCTTCCAATTACATTCTAATTTTGATGATTTGTCCGTGATTAATAACGCGAAAAATATTTGAAGTAATTCGAACATTCTCAATTTTAATGCCGCAAGAGATGAGTTTTCTATTTATGCGATATTTGTCGTTGTTGGTCCCGCTTTATGAAGGAACGACTACCTGCGTCTTTGCTGGTCTGTCAGCTCCGTCGCAAGGACCATCGTACATAGGCACTTCCACATTTACGGGTCCGGCGCAATGGAAGATTTCCATGTGATGTACGAGATGTTCGTTACCAGCTTGGATGGCGGGACCGAATTGTAAGATGTGATGCCTGCCAACAAATATATATATATATATATATATATATATTTTTTTTTATTATGTGCTTGAGTTTTACTATTTACGACTTTGCTACAAGTATTCATAGAGTANNATATTTATTTATTTATTTATTTATATGTATTAAACTTTCGATCGATAAAAATATTAATGAAAAATCTAAGTGGATTCCGATCTGATGAATGAATTCAAAATGAATTGATAAGGATGAAGATATGACAATATGTGTGATGAACCATAATATGTGTGTAATATGCAGAAATCTCTCGTAAATTTATTGAAATACGTTTATATCTAATTTTGTACGCACTTTTGTTTCAGCACCGACGGTAATTTATGCACGCGACACCAATAGGTGGTTTCCTGCTTCGGCACTAGGACCCGATGAGCAAGTAATTCAAGTTGCCAAGTGTCCGCTGGAAACTTGGGCTTCTTATGAGACATCCTGCGTAATTCCGTACGGGACATGCCGGACGTTTTTGCGTCCGAAATTTTGAGTCCGGTTAAAGAAGACAGTGGTCCGCGGCCACGAAGCCACACGAGATGCGTGGTACCCCTCTAGAAACGCGAGCATTTTAATCTATTACGATTTAATCCTCGGAAAGAGGAATTTTTTAGCGGATGTGAGTCCGAGACCAGAATATTTTAAAGGCTGCCTCGTTCTGTTATCGATGTAGATAATAATAATCGAGCCCTGATACGTATAAAATGTCGAATTCCGAAAGTTTTACCCTTTCATCGGACAATTTTATAAGGTAAACGCCTTTCGATGATCAAGCATATTATATATCACATTAAAATAAAGTTCTTTAGATGCCTTAATTTTTGCGAATTTTTAAGAATTATAGTAAATTTTACTCACCTCAATGATATAATCGTGCTCATCGCAGGTGTCGAATTTCCGGGAGAAAGTGAACTTTGTGACATTGCCGCGTCTTTTCCACGCGAAATTCTTGCAGTCCTGCTGGCTGTCCAGGTGTAATTTCCCGTCGATATCCGCCCATGAGTCCTGTCAATTATTAGCAGAAGAGGCCGGTGGAATCAATATGTCGTACGCGACAGACTTAATGCTTTTACATCACTAAATATTTTACTTGAAGATGAATTTGTTGATGCCAGTCGGGCCATAGGACACAGTAATCGGCCGGTTTCAGCTCTCCGTAGTCAGAAAATCCGATCGCAAACCAGCTCCTCTCGTTGCCGACGTAATGAATCTCCACGACTATCAGCTCGTTCATTAAATCCACCCTGAAAGCATATTCGGTGCTGTATCGTTTCCCATACACACTTGACGATTATAACAATGAATGACGATCTTATTCCAAGACGCACTTCCAATAGAGAGTCGCCTCCGAGCCGAGAGGAACCGCGTGGATCGCGCCTGCAGGTACATTTTCAGCGATCGAGGAATCGTGCCGAGACCAGCTCGAGCGGACGCCTACGAGAAAGATTAACAATAGCAAAAACAGCATCATCGTCGATGTGATTAAATCCTCGTCAAAGCCCCCCGAATGAATCCGCCGAGCGATTCGTCTTCGATTTGGATCCTGGATTAACTCAATCTGGATTTCTTAGAATTTATCTTGGTTTTCCAAATGTCGCTCACACTTTTTCTCAAGGTGGATTATTCCTGTCAACTTGTTGGTTTTATGAGATATTATCACGGAGATCCTGCGGAGGGTGAATCTGTACTGATGATCCTTGGACTACGAACTTTCGTATTCTGGAAGGAGTTCCGCGCTTGCGAGTCGACGCGAGATGCGCAAACTCGTGGGGACACGAATTAAAAACCCTCTTCCACCCTCTAGTTCAAGGAAATCCTCGGAGAATTTTTCTTAAATTGTTAAGAAAATAATGGTACAGTTTCAGTCTAATTTACATTTAATTTTAATCTTATTTTTATGTGATAAAAGTTTCACGAAATATATAAATTTCGTATTATATAATATTATTATCATAAAATATCATATGGCGCAATTAAATAATTAAAGCACAGAATAGAGTAAAATTTTCGCGCACAGTGAATTTAAAGTCCATTTGAATTCAACATAGTCCACAAATTTCTGTTCTTCCTTTCGTCACACAAATCCGTCGACAACTCGTATCAAGCAGAATATAATTTCATCTTAGATTGATTAAGGGGATGGATAATTAAAATGAGCTGGACAATTTCCGATAAATGATAAACGATATTTTGCTGATGAAGAACGAAAAATTAAATATAGTAAATTGACAATTTAAAGTGTGAAATGTATACCAGGTATCTTGGAAACTTTCGATAGAGATCTTTCGGAAAATTTTATAAAAAGGGTCTTTAATCTTCAATCGTATATAACTAAGAAAGCTGCAAATATCCTGATTATTTATAATATAATAGTAAATATATTCATAATTTTTTGCCATTTAAGTTAAATACTAATTTTTATCTTAAATTTTCTGTTCCTTGTTTCTAATTTTCGGACGTAAAAGAAAAGTCGACCCTGAATTGATCGCAGAGTCGCGATTAAAATTAAAATTAGGGTATTTCAGGGTGTTCCATCCATGCGGAGGAAAGGAGGACGTCTTAATAATCGAATATTTTTCCGAGGAACATATTGCATTCCATTCGTGGCGCGTGCTTCGCGACCGGACTGCAATCAGGAAATTCCGCAGAACGTTTATTGCAGTCGGGACTCCTTATTTGCGCATTATTAACGCGGGAAACAATTCTCGTGCGAGAGAATTGAATTGCAGGA